CCTTGTGGGGCTCCGTAACAATCAAATATTTCCCCAGGATAACCTTTCAGCACAAAGTACTGTTATCAACGGGGTACTCTGTGGATACCTTCCATAGTGCTTGGACCTCTCTCCAGTCATTTCCCATTGTCCTGCGCACGATTGTAATGGCTGCAGTTCTACAATCCCTGAACCAAACAGATTTGAGTTGATTCATGATAACTGAAACAAATTGCATCATCTGGCTGCCACCAACTACAGGGAGAGTGGAAATGACTATGCACCCCTTGAATTGCTACAGAGTGTACTGGAAGTTGGAAGGTGTTTCAGAGTGGCAGTTTGTGCTGACGTTGCTGGATTTGCTGCGTGGGTGAGAAGCATTACCAGAGAAAAGAGAGGAGTTGTTGAAGCCATTGTACGAGAGGCTGATCTGGTGGGAACAGATGAGAGCAAAACCATTGATCTGGACTATTTTTGTTGTTCTTTTTTGTAACTTTGTGAATGTATTGCCTTGGCTAGTGGGTTTGTAAGTCATGTCGCTTACACGGATATAATCATTGTAAAGTAGTTTAACAGGTGTGAAGTAATAAAAGCCAATTATAAAGTTTTAAACAGGTTTCTGTATTGTTTGATTCTGTATTGTTTGGAATTTGGTCACACCTCGTTGATCTGAATGAGATCCCCTTTCTGGCCTTTGACAGTTTGTATCTTAGACCCTATTATGCAAGCAGAAATCTTAATTTTGGCACATGGCAAATGTAATGTATTAAAGATCTTCCGGTGTAGACAAATTGGCACATTGAAAAAGATGCTGAAATTAAGCCCTCGCCAGATTCAAAAAGGGGAATTGAAGTTGCTTAACAAGCCTTCTCGTGAATTGTGTAAAGCAGGTACTCTCTGGCTACTCAAAGGTGTCAGTCGAAATGCTTGGGGAAAAACAAAGGCTATCTTGGTCCAAGCCGTATTGCAAAATAGATCATCTATAATACCCATAAGTCTCTCAAGTCCAGTGGTGCTACCAGGTGATGTGGTCCTATTGCAGAGACAATTAGAGGTAGGTCTTGGGCCAACAGATGATGTTAGCCGAGGTCTGACGGTGGAGGAGTTATTGAGCAATGAGAGATGGTTCAGAGGCCCTGCATTTCTGGGGGAAAATAAGTCATCATGGCCCACCAATCCAGTCTCCTTAGCCATTATTTCCGATGAAGACCCAGAAATCAGAGCTCYAGGTCAAACGAATCATGTTACCCAGATGGAGGAGAAACGACCACTGGACCTAATGATGCTCCAATGTTCATTATGGTACAAGTTCAAGAGAGCTGTTGCTTGGCTTCTGAGACTTGTACAATTCTTAAAGCAAAGGAGGTGCTTGTGAGTTTCATCACCTGTTGATGTATCACCTTGTGGCAGGCTGTCTATTGATGAATTACTATATGCGGAGGCTCAAATCATCAAGTATGTGCAGAAATCAGCCTCTCTACCTGTGATTAAGGCCCTCCATGATGTAAGGCATGGAGAACCTGAGAAGTGCACAATGAAGAATATCGGTTCATTTGGCTCGGTGTACAAATTGAGACCATTTCTAGATGAAGAGGGATGTTGAGAGTTGGCAGTAGGCTTCAGAATTCTACTTTGAAGTACCCATCAAAACATAAATTGTTGTTACCTTCCAAGCACCGTGTTACCAAGCTGCTTGTTATGGATGTCCATGAATCTGTGGGACACCTAGGCCAAGAATACGTCCTGACCAATTTAAGACAGAAGTACTGGATTATCCAGGGACAGGCCGCTGTCTGAAGAGTACTTGGTAACTACTTGACCTACCGAAAACAAAATGCTCTAAAGGGCCAACAAGTAATGGCAGATTTACCCAGCGACAGGCTAACTCCTGATGAGCCCCTGTCCTCTTACGTTGGCATAGATTTGTTTGGTCCATTGTACATGAAGCAAGGCAGAAGTACTGTAAAACATTATGGATGTCTTTTCTCTTGCTTAACTATGGGAGCAACCCACATTGAAGTGACCGAATCTCTTAAAACGGATTCGTTTATCAACACTCTT